CAGATTTTGTAATTCAGATGTTTAGAAATGAAAATTAAGAGACTGTTGTTGTTTAATTTTATTGGTGTTTCCTAATATGAAATTCAGTTGTAAGCTTGGCAAGCAGTTTTAGAGCATTTGATGATTCCCCATTCAGACAAAATGCCCGATCATACTGCCCGAGAGGTGTTTTAAAGATGGCCGCCGGGTAAAAAGACTTGCTCTAAAGGGACTTTGGTAAAACGCATAGAAAACAAGACAGCAGAGTAAAACCATTCTTAGACCAAAAGACCTCTTTGGGGAATACTTTAGAGCAGGGGTGTCAAACTCAATTCCTGGAGGGCCGAAGCCCTGCACAGTTTAGTTCCAACCCTGCTCCAACACACTTACATGTAGGTTTCAAACAAGCCTGAAGGACTCAATTAGTTTGATCAGGTGTGTTGAATTAGGGTTGGAACTACACTGTACAGATCTGCGGCCCTTTTGGAACTGAGTTTGACACCTGTGCTTTAGAGAATGCACTATTGTATAAAAAACAAATGACTGTCATAGTTGAAGACTCTTGCATCATGAGAGCATTGTTTATGTGAACCCCTAAAAAACATCATGACATGGGAACTGGTATTTCTAGTTTTGTGTGCCACATGCAGTAGAAGTTAGAAATATAAGCTGACATTTAAAGTGACATTTAAAGGCTTAACTAGGTTAATTAGGTTAACTAGGCAAGTTAGAGTAATCGAAAAAATTATCTTAAAGGGGCTATCAAGTTTGACCTTAAAATGGTTTTAAAAAATAAAAAAACTGCTTTTATTCTAGCCTAAATAAAAACAAATAAGACTTTCTCCAGAAAAAGAAATATTATCAGACATACTATGAAAATGTCCTTGCACTGTTAAACATCATTTGGGAAATATATATAAAAAAAAAATTAAAGGGGGGCTATTCCCTGTCACAGTCTGACAAAGTCCCATGTACATTAGTCTTTGGTACTGATCCTTTCTTTAATAACAACTGGCTTGTAAACTTTCATTTAGACTATCAGTATTTGGTAGTCTGAAAAGGCTTTATAAAAAATCAAGTTTGAATATTGATTGTTACATCTTAATATGATTTAATACCTGCACTATTCTGTAAATACAGCATCCCAAAAAGTAAGGTGTGCTCGACTTAATATTCCATTTACAGCATAAGTGATGAACTTGAGGTGATACCAGCTTGGATTTTGAGACTCTAGAGCAGGAGTGCACAAAATTTTTCTTATGAATGGTCAAAAACACAACTAGATTAAAGCTAGTGAGCTGAAGGTAAATATAATTCATTCATTTATTTACTTTTCAGCTTAGTCTCTTTAGTAATCTGGGGTTACCACAGCTGAATGAATTGCCAACGTATCCAGCATATGTTTTACGCAACGGATGCCCTTCCAGCTTCAACCCATTACTGAAAAACCCCCATACACACTCATTCACATACGAACACTATGGACAATTTAGCCTATACCCATTTCACCTATACCACATGTTTTTGGACATGTGGGGAAATCCAGAGCAGCAGGAAAAAACCCAGCGAACGCAGGGAGAACATGCAAATTCCATCCAGAAATGCCAACTGACCCAGCCGAAGCTTGAACCAGCGACCTTCTTGCTGTGAGGTGTGAGCACTACTACGCCACCCCGTAAGTATAGCTGCCATAGGTAATTTCCTAATTTATAAATAAAATTTAGGAATAACTAGAAAACACTGCTTTATATTAATTAACTCATATAGTATATTTTTTTATATAGTTTCAGCCTTGACTTGCTCATTGTTCGCTCAGTATTTACATTTTTAAAAATCTAATTAATTTACAACATTTAAGTGAAACATTTAATTTTACTTTGCTTTTTTGTAGCAATAAAATGCTCCAAACCCATCATTCTTTCTCTTTTCTCAGATGGGATCCTGGTCCAAACCAAAGGTTACAATGGGCCAACTTTGACCCTACATTGGGCATCTCTGCTCTATCCACAACAAAGTTCTGGAGAGCTGCTCCAGTGGGTGCTCCTATAGAAGAGAAGACTATGAGTAATGAGGGACAATGAGGGACACATGATGCAATATTCTCATAAAATTTACCAACATCGCTGAACTTCATTATCTTCTCCGTAATTCTCAAACCATGGTTGGACAGAGCTAGGGGGACTGCTGGTGATGGACACCGGTCCTGTTTCTTCTTTTGAAAGTGTTATTTCTGGTGAAACATGACAGCTATTTACTACAATAACCACATGGTTTGTTTGATCACAGGTAAATGATCTATAAAGCATTATATTATTGTAAAGAATGTTTCAGAAGGGCATTTAGATACCCACCTGAGTCATCAGTCCAACGGCAACACAAGAGTGTCCAGACTCTCTCAAGAGGCTTCCAAAGACATTCAGATATCAGACCTGTGTTGAGATTTGTCAAATATATTTTAAACAGGTTGCTTCAGTATGGTGCAAGTAAGGGCCAGACATTTGAAGAAAGATTATATGTATGTAGATTTAACATCAGAAATCTTTTTACGTTGAGACTCTAGTTTTGGGCTACTGTCTCGAACTTGAAAAAAGCGATTACAGTACAGTGTTTCTGGTGTGCAATATTCAATAAAGCTTATATGAAATCTATAGGCCTAATACTTGAAATATATTATGCTCATCCGCCTGACAACACATTTTTTCTGCATCTTGATTTTTGTCATGAGGGTTTCCATATTGGTTAATTCTAGTGGAAAAAATGTGCTACAAAGCTTTTTCCCAACGTGATTTATTTATTTTTTAACATCGTGGTTAGGATTAGAGGTTGGTGATTTAATTCTATTTCTTTTCTCTCTTATTTTTTTATTTTTTTTACAAATGGTATTTATTTTATAACAAATGTTTATAACATGTTTTAGACATCCAAATCTAAGCGACGATATTAATCATCTCACAAGTGTGTGAGAGATGGAAGGAGCCTCCTCATTTATAAAAATACACATAACATTACTCTTACTCATGCAACTACAGTGACGACCCGAAAGGGAAACACGTCTTGTTTTTTTTACACTCTGACGTGCACGCGCATGTCAGCCAAAAACGCGTCATGTCTGCAGCCAGACAAACACTGCTGCGAATCATTGATCATTCTATAATGTTAAGTCAATGAATGGCAAACAGTAATAAGAATGAGCTTGTTTCCCCTTCACAATTAGCACGCATACTGCCCTTCTCGCTTTGATTGTCTTGGATGCTAGTTTTGCAAGTTTATAAAAGTTAGTAGGTTATATCTCTCACACACACTGAGACGAATATTGCTCTTACAGACTTAAATTAGGACTCTACGGGTCTCGTCCGTTCATTCTCCCTTTTTAGTTAAAAACAGGATACACAGAAAAACTAAATATTTACAGATTTTCTGGTGTTTCGTTTTCCAGAATAAATTAAATAATCAAATAAGCGGATGATACACGGACCCGCTACCCATAAGTTAAAAAAGATTTCTTGCAGACTAACGATAACAATTGTTGACTCGTAGCCTATCTACTAAAATGTCAAGTGCCATCATGACCGTATTAAAAATATGCTGCAAATGAAAGTAAATGCTCACCGCGATTATTGATTTCCATGCCCGTCACTGGTGTTCCCTTGAGCTTAAACGATAGAAGCCTATCCCGCACCGGTGTTGTGCTGACATCAGTCAACTATGCAAAACTCTTTATAGAGGTGGGAACGCAAACAAAAACAGAACGCGCATGAGCAAGATTGAAGTCTAACAGAAAGTGAAACATATATATGTTTTTTATATCAGTGTCGTTGAGTTTTTCAAAAAAGTTTTTAAAATCATTTTTTTACATTTGCAAAGTATGATGCAATATACGATTAAGGGATCAATGAATCTGTCGGGTAAAATTCATAGACGTGAAAAGGTTATCTTTTTATTTTATGGAATGTGACTGGAAACATTTTGCATCCAGGTGAAGTCCTTCCCAGCCACGAGATCGCCCAGGGCAGCATCTTGTATGGGTGTGTGACACGACAACCCTCTCGTCATTTAGCCTACAGTGTTTTTATAAAAATGATTTTCTTTAAAATTAAATAGCAAATTGATAATGTCAAATATATATTATACGAAATTACGACTAGTGTAACAGGGAATTACTTAATGTTTATTAATTGTCTTATAACAAATTGATTCTGCAAGCTGTTATAACTCGGGGCATATTTTTCAGACTATATTCCTATCAGACAGCTATAAAAAATAGACTACATTAAAGCGGGAATAAAATTACCATTAACGGAATTATGATGAACTCATTGATAGCGACCTTGAGTTTATGTAAAAGTATGTGCACGTTTTTGTTACCTACATCCTTGGGCTTGTCACTCAACTGAAACACCTCCCTATTCTTTGCGCTGCTAGATTTGAAGCATAGATATATACATCTATATAGGCTGTCTATGGATTTGAAGACAAGTCTTTATTTTGAATTGCTGTCTTAAACTTGAGAAAAAATATTACAAAATGTTACTGGTGTGCAATATCCAGTATCTGCTTATATGAAAATTAATTAAATTGTATGATGTATTTTAATAAAAATTTGAAAATTAATTTAGATCCACAAAATACCAGGCTAATGTATGTATGTATATTTGTGTGTGTGTATACACACACACACACAAATATACATACATTAGCCTGGTATTTTGTGGATCTAAATTAATTTTCAAAATTTTATTAAAATACATCATACATTTTATGTACACACACACATATTTACATTTTATGTACACACATATGTACACACACACACACACACACACACATATATATATATATATATGTATGTGTGTGTATATATATACAAATATATTATTTTATTTATTTTTTTCTCCTTAGTCTTGGATCATTTAATGACTAAAAAACACTAATTTAATGCATTATTTTAAGAATGACATTGCAAAAATAATAATTAACAAAATGACAAAAACCATCACAATAAAGAGCAGAAATCCAACAAGTGATACACAATCAGGCATTTATTAACACGGACTGGCAAGCAAATTAAATCCAAACAGTGTGACACAAAAATGTCCATTTTGCCAAAACAACTGATGTTTGTGTAAAAAAAGCAAATATGCCAAACTGAAAGTTAGAAATAATGCAATCGACAAAAATGTCAATAAGGATGCTTATGGATAATTGCTTATTGATATGAAAACAAGTGTTAAAACAAAGCAAGCATTGCAATTATCATTTAAGAGCTGAAGCAGAAATTATACATGAGGCACTGGTTTGCATTCCCAAGTTATGCATTCAAGCCATAACTGATCCCTTTCTTGTTTACAGCAGTTTCAGTTAGAAAACAGGTAAAATCATGCATGTGGTTTTGTTTTTTTATATACACAATACTTATTTGCAACGACAATACTAACATTTGTCATTCAGTCAAATCCTGTGCAAGCTCAAGCTATGTCTAAACTGATTTGAACATACGTGACCAATTTGGTGTGCATCATTAAACTTACTTTATGCATTACATGATTATGATGATATTAATATTACACAAAGGTAATAAATTGATCATAATTTAGTGATTTTGCTAAATCCTAATTTCATTTTTAAAAATATGCTTTCTACAAAATCCTACTGCTTTACATTTTGAGTTGTTCTCACCTCAACTCATAACTTACGGATGAAACATTTTAATATAATTATCTTGACATGCTTACTGAACATTAGGAGAGCAATTCATTTCAAATATATATATTTTTATATATTTTTTTTAAGTAAGCTATAACTTTAAAGGTTTCACATTTAAATAAACTCTGTTTTTAATTGTAAAGATAATTTAAAAATTACTATTACAATAATTAATCTCACATGCTCACATTTCATTCATTCTCCTACGGCTTAGTGCCTTATTTATCAACGGTCACCACAGCGGAATGAACCTGCAACTATTCCAGCACATGTTTTACACAGCGGATGCTGTTTCAGCCGCTACCCATCACTGGGAAACACCACTCTCTCATTCACACATACACTATGGCCAATTTAGCTTATTCATTCCACCTATAGTGCATGTCTTTGGGCTTGTGGGGGAAACCAAAGCACCAAGAGGAAACCCATGCCAATAATGGGAGAACATGCAAACTCCATGCAGAAATGCCAAATGACCCAGCTGGGACTCGAACCAGCAACCTTCTTGCTGTGTGGTGACAGTGCTATCCACTAAGCCACCGTGCCAGCATGGTGTGGGTTTGCTTAAACGTGTAAAATTTCGACATCATTTTTCTTTGTCAGTGTGATCATGTAATTATACTACAATATGCAAGTAATCTACCCAGCACTGCCTATCTGACATAACCACTGCCATAATCGCAGAGAAATTGAGGAGCGAAGAATATTTATGAAATGTAAGATAAAGAAAGATAAAGTGAAGTAAATATTCCTCAAAATGAAACTTTCCATCAGAATAAATGTGAAAACACTGTAACTGTACATTATAATTACAATCAAACTGTGAATGCATTGATAACATGGAGATCTGTCTAAACATTCTTCCTCACTGGCTTTAGCAATTCTCTGGTTGAACTTTAATATATAATGTAAATTACTCAGCTGTGTGCTCTATATCAGCCCAGGTTAATATTCTTGCTTGCGACTGATTAATTAATGAAATTTTGTTTTAATTTTTGACATAAATCTCATCACTGTTGGCCAAACCTTGGGGAAAACATTCTGATAGCAGGACTCCCTATTACCCACAGACAGGATTCGGCTCTTACGCTTTTCTGCATGGTTCAAAACAACCTTAATAGTCCAGAACTCCTCTTTCACATGAAGCGAGAGCACCAGCAACTGTCCCAGCTCTTGACAACAGGTCCCGCTATAACATTGTTACATAGGTTTCATAATTTCAAGGGAGCCAGTCCACCATCTCTGAAACTTTTTTTCTTCATCTCCATCCAAGTCTTCTGTATGGAAACAGAACAGAAAGCAATTAGGATTGTACAGCAGAAGTGCCCTGTGTGATTATTATACATTTGCATCACTCAGAACTAATACATTGATTTACTTTAATTAAAGCTTGTCCTATTAGTGTCTGAAAGACGTGTTTCTGTCACCTTAGGTAGTTCTCATGAACCCTGCAGCCTCGCCGTAGTTCCATGGTCGTACAGAGCTCTGACTAATAGATGGCGCTGTTTCCTCCACTGAGAGAGGAACTGGTTGGTGCATTACGTAATCAGTGGGTTAAAACCTTTACTCTTATTATTGTCCTTATAAAATAATTAAACATCAGCACAATTACATACCTGAGTTTTGTCCACAGATAAAGAATGTCCGGGCTCTTCTTAGAGACCGCCATAGAAATGCAGTTATTTTACCTGTGGTGAATAAAAACTTACATTAGGATAACATTAGATATTAATATTCGATTGTTGTAACTTAAATTGTGACCTGATGTTGTATCAAATGCTTGTTTAAATCAACAGTCGTTATAAGCGTCTATTATTTACATCGAGTGCGCGAAAGCGACTTTCCTAGATAACACTTCATGATGACTTAAATCTATTCAATCGCTAAAATCTATATAATCATGTCAAATCGCGTTTATAAACTACGATTAAAAGTCTCGTCAACCATTTTGCTGAAAACCGTAACGTTACAGGAAGCAGAAAACGAGCGAGCGAGACACCATAGTATTTCACTCAAACTACGGCTGCAACACAACTAACGTTATTCGTCTGACCTGAGTTGTTATTGTTGTTGACTTCCATGTCGAAAAGTTGAATGTGTCACTTAAAGTTCAGTGTTCAGTTGTTCTCCGAGCACAACATGAAGTTTGTATTTCCCGCGGACAGGAACCGCCCCTCTGCTGTGACGTATCGTGACGACTAGACATGCTTTGGCAGAGCTCGCGCCAAATCACTTCCTACTGCAGCACATGCAGTATCTTTTACAGTCTCTGATGCAGCCTCAAAAGTAGATATCATGCATAATAAGCAATTAATTTTGAAGGTTTTGAGCTGATTTTCACTGGGAATTTGTAGTGTATAATCTCAAAGCCCAAAGTCATTGATTCTACTATTCCCAAAATTTAAAAAAACTGAGGTTTTAATAAATTTAAAGTAATATATTTATCACCTGGGCTGAATTATGCGAGATGAACAATTATTTAAATATTTATTTTATTTAACTAATAATCTAAACTTGATCTTTTTACTACTCTATTAATTTAAATAGTTATAACAGGGGTATTCATTCTTGCTTAGGCTACATAAAGCCACTATAGTGTCCTGCGTGCCTGACTGACTTGTTTCACAATTTGACAAAAAAACCTAGGCTTCTTATTATCTCTGTTAAACTGCTTTAACACAATCTAGACTGTAAAAAGCGCAGTAGAAATAATGATTAATTTGAATATTAATTGCTTACCGTTTTAAGTTACCCCATCTCTCACTTCACTGGGGGAAAACAGATCGCATAAACTTTGTTTCCGCACTGATTTAAGTCCAAGCATCATCGCCAGTCCTTCATTTACACTGCACTGATGTCTGCACAGCGCTGTTACTGCATTGCACACGAGTGATGATTTGCCCGCGAAGCGAGCAACGGGAAGTCCGCCTCTTTCCCACGAATCAGACTAACATCAGCTTCCGCCATTCATTTTTGTGCATTTATTTATTTTAAACTTTTTAAATTGATCTTCTGAAATATATCTCACTTTTATTGTTTTATTATTAACATTACTATTATTATCTTTATTATAATTATCATATATATACTTGTTATATAATATATATATAATAATAATATATATAATGTTTTTGTAATTTTTTTACATAAACACACACACACACACACACATATATATATATATATATATAGTCACAAAAGTGAGTACACCCCTCACATTTTTGCAAATTTTTATTTATATATTTTCATAGTACACTACAGAAATGTTTTTATATTTTAATATTTTTAGTCGTTTTTGAGGAGACAATATATCTACACTGCTATACAAACTTTACACTGAGTACTTTTCATTGTCAAAAAGTAATTTCTGCATTGTTGTCCTATGGAAAAAATAATAATTATATATATATATATATATATATATATATATATATATATATATATATATATATATATATATATATATATAAAATTATTATTTTTTCCATAGGACAACACTGCATAATATATATATATATTTATTTGGGCGGCACAGTGGTGCAATGGGTAGGGTAACGTTAGCGCTGTCATCTCACAGCAATAGGTTGCTGGTTCGAGCCAGTTAGCATTCTGAGTTTGCATGTTCTCCCTGTGTTCCTCCGGGTGCTCTGGTTTCCCCCTCAAGTTCAAAAACATGCAGTATAGGTGAACAGAATAATCTAAATTGGCCGTAGTGTATGTGTGTGAATGCAAAAGTGTATGGGTGTTTTTCCAATACTGGGTTGCAGAGGGACATCCGCTGCGTAATACATATGCTGGATAAATTGGCAGTTCATTCCCCTGTGGTGACTCCTGATTAATAAAGGGACTAAGCCGAAATAAAGACTGAATGAATGACTATCATTTAACCATGATTTACAGAAGACACTGAAACATCACTCGGTGTTCATAAGTTAACAGTGTTTGCCAGGAATCTTTGAAACAGGAACCATTTGACAATTCTGAGCACTTTTATTAAGCAAATCGTCAGAGACTGTTAAAGTTGTCTCACCCATACTTTAAAAAATTGTATTTTCACAGAAGTAATATTTAATATGCACTCTGTTACTGTTTAAAATAAAATACCTAAAGTTGCGGCCATGTGATTGGCTGATTAGAAAATTGTATTAAGAAGCAGTTAAACAGGTGTACCTAATAAAGTGGCCGGTGAGTGAATACTGCAATGTTAGCATGCTAGAGGAGTTTAAAGTACAGTTCCTGTGTTATGTTTTGGTGTGTGATCATGTGTTGCAATAGCGGGGTTTAAGGGGCGGAATTTGTGGGTAAAGCAAGGGGGGTTGTCATTTTATTCTGATAAATTCTGGTTTGTTTCGGGCGAGCGAAAGTATCCTTATTTATGCTTGGCAAAAGTGCATTAAGGAGAAGTTTAAAGAGATTACACGCATCCTAAACCCTTTTCAATAAATTGTGATTGTTAAAACTCATTTAGAAAGCAAAAGCTGGTGAATGATACTATTACATGTTACATATATATTGTTTATGAGTCTAAAGTTAAACTGTCAATCTTTGGGTTGTCTGTTTCTTTAAAAGGCAGAACGCCCGGGCCAGACTGCGCTGGTCGATGACGTATACACTTTTGATTGGCTGATTTGTCAACGCCTATGTAAGTTACTTATATACGTGTCAGCCTTGCTTTCTAGTCTAATACTTTTACGGTATCGCCTACTGTCAGAAATGTCACTTCGCACAGCTGCATGGGGTTTCGGTGCTCGCCTGAGGGGTGTTTTACAGCCCAGCACGGCCGCTGTTGCTGCCAGAAGAGCGTTCGCGCCTGCGGCTCCTCAGGCTGTGCAGTCCGTGCTGGAGGCCGAGCTGGACTCTATCCGCGCCGCGGGCACATGGAAGGGGGAGCGGGTCATCACTTCCAAACAGGGTCCTCATATCTGCGTAGACGGCAGCAGAGGCGGTGAGCAGCGCTGTTCTGACAGCTAGAGTCAACTATAGCCAAATACTAACCAAACAATAGTACACTAACTTTAACAATAGTGTTATAGCAAACTATTAATTGAGGTAAAGTTGGATTTATATTCGCACATTCGTTCAAAGCCTACTTATGACATGCTCCCTATATTGTTTACCGTGGCACTTGGAATACTCAGTCAGTCATACCATGCAAGTATGACTTGAAAACAACATTAGCACTATTTTATTTGACTGTGAACATCATGTTGTACTTTGATAGTCATTGGCTGCTAATATAGTTTTAGATTTTGCAGATAATACTTTTCTGTAATTATAATTTTAAGGAGCATCTCTGAGTGTGTTAATAAAACCAACTTTACCCCAATGCATAGAGTGCTAATACTAGAAAGTGCTGTGATTAAGGTTGTAGATTATAGGGGACACATAGACTATAGGGATTTAAGCTGTAAATAATGCAATTTTGCTGATAACAGGTGCTTGATGTTTTATCATAAAATTAAACTTTATTCGTAACACTTCTTTCATACTTTATGTAAAAGTCTTATAAAACCTATTTGTAAGTATTAACAAAATTAATGTACATTAGGGCTGCACAATAAATAATTTCAGCATTGATATTGCAATGTTATGTTATCGCAAAGATTTATGCAGGGGTTCTCAAACTTTTTGTATTAGCAAATGCATTCATATCATGTCTTTTAAAAATGTAAATGATTTTTCATTTGTCTTGGACTGCACAGTGAATGACGTGAACTGCATCACTGCTTTTTAAAAAGCAAATTAAGTTACGCATGATGACTGTATAGAGTGAGCAGAGCTAAAAAGCCTTGTCCTTTGACCCCATACTTTCTGTTTTTATTTCAGACATATTAAATTTTTGTGCAAATAACTACTTGGGTTTATCCAGTCATCCCGAGGTGGTGAAAGCAGGAGTAGAGGCTCTGCAGAAATATGGTGCTGGCCTTAGTTCAGTTCGCTTCATCTGCGGCACCCAGGTGAGAGAAAAATACTGTGATTGTACACAACGATAGCAATACATTCAGAAGTTTTCTGAATCAGTCTGTTTTCCAGGACATCCACAAGAACTTGGAGGAGAAACTAGCGCAGTTTCATGAAAGGGAAGACTGTATTCTATATGCAAGCTGCTTCGATGCCAATGCTGGCCTGTTTGAGGTGACTTTACCAGTCAATATTACATACAGAACAGGCGTGAATGGAGTCACTGGTAATGCACTGTAATCGTATATCGGTGCTCTTTGCTTTAGGTCCTGTTGGGTCCTGATGATGCTGTTTTGTCTGATGAACTGAATCATGCCTCCATTATCGATGGCATTCGATTGTGTCGTGCCAAGAGGTTCCGGTACAAGCACATGGACCTGAATGACCTGGAAGAAAAGCTGAAAGAGTCACAGGTGGGTGTAGTTACTGTATTTTACCAATCGCTTAATCTTATTACTGGATTGTATACAAATCAGAGAGGTTTCACCACAAGCTTAAAGGGGTTTTTGTGCAAGGTGATATACAAATGAATCTTAAACTACTGTGTCGGCAGCTTGATATGTTTTTTATAGAATATAAAAGAACCATTTTATTCAACAAGTAAGCAGAATGTTATTTATTTATTGAATTTTTAATGCTATATTAGAAGCATTGGTGACATTCACAACAACATTGATAATAAATATTCACAACATAATTTAGGAACAGAAGTTTCTTAATAAAAATGTGCAAAAAAAACATGCATGTGCCACACCGATAAAAGGTCATATACAATCTTCCAGATTAGTTATTAATAAATATTTTAAAATTATTCCAGGACACACCTTTTAAACTTTTCCCTTTAAAAATTCTCTAATTTCATTTAAAAATATAAATTTCTGTTAAAATATGTTTTATAGTCAAAGTATTTTACACTAATGACAAATTGGTGTCTTTGCCCCTTTCAGAAAATAATCATGTGCAAGTTGTGAGTGGCCAATTCTACATCTTGTGTATAAAACCTGTCCATGTCTGTATTTAAAATAGTTTTCAAAAATGTGTTTTACCGTTGGATTCACTTAATCCAACTTGTTGTTTGTATATTCATCCCATTCCATCCCATTCCATCCCATTTCCATTCTCATTATTGTACAGATTCAACACCGCTAGCAGGTTTTTGAGGATTAAATGTTTTGTTTCTCTCTCTTTACCCACAGTCGTCCCGTCTGAGGTTGGTGGTCACAGATGGCGTGTTTTCCATGGACGGTGATGTGGCTCCTCTGAAGGGTATCTGTGATCTGGCTGAGCAGTATGGAGCGATGGTCTTCATTGATGAATGTCATGCCACAGGATTTATGGGTGCTCGTGGCCGGTGAGTAGACTGGGAAATATAAAAAGAAATGCTTGATAGCAGTTCAGTTGACGGGTTCTGGAAGCAATCATTTCAACATTATTTAATAAAGTTTAACAGCATAATTCTAGGTGAAAATCTACATCTACACATAATTCTGCAGAATTTTCAACAACATGTAAATCCCATTAACAAAATGCATTAATAGTGCATTAGATTGGAATGCTTTCATGTGGTCAAATGCATTTAAAAAGCCAACGAAGACCATCTACCCTCTGAACGTTATGAGACTTATTTTGAGGGGTAGTACCACAATAAAGCATCTTTCGTTTCACCGGATTGGTGTTGTAGAAAGCCATTAAGTAAATTTCCCTTTTGTCTTATTTTCAAATTCAGAAGAAACCAGGATGTTTTAATATTGTTAAATCGCAATTATGGCAATTTTGGATGTTTGACTATTGTGTAAGACTGGTTTAACTGTGTGGGGAAAAAACTATAAAGTGTAACTGGGACATCTGTGCATTGCCTTCCTGCAGAGGGACTGATGAGCTGCTGGGAGTGATGGACAGGGTGCAAATTGTGAATTCCACTCTGGGAAAAGCACTGGGAGGAGCTGCC